AAATAAAATAACCTAGGACTTACGGTAGCAATGATCAATAGTACACCCAGGTGTGAAATCAGCTTGTTCAATTGCAAGTAAGTTGCTATGATCTAGCCATTCACACAGCTTCTGACAGAGGTGTTTAGTATATAACTTACAAATCACATTCAGAAGAATAATTGGTCTGTAGTTCGATGGATCATAGGGGCTACCCTTTTTAAACAAAGGAACAATTATAGCCAAGCCCCAGTCCTTGGGAATCTTGAGCTGAGGCATCTATATAGGAAAAAAGATTAGCCAAGACTAGAGCCCACCAATCTATGTGCGATTTTAAGAGCTCAGCAACTATAAAGTCAGCTCCTGGTGCTTTTCCAGATTCAAGTTGTGATATTAACAAGGTAGTTTCAGATACGGAGACTGGAGGCCATTGTGTGGACTGATCTAGAAGAATATCAGGCGGAGCAAGACACTGCTGATCCCTAAATAAGCTGTTATAATGTTCTTCCCATGCTTTTGCAGCGATAGGATTGGGGGCATTGGAATTCTTGATTTGTATATTGGAGATGATTTTCCAGAAGCTGACATTATCTTTTTCTCTAGTGGCCTTAATAAGGGATTGCCATAAAAGGGAATCAACAGCTCTTTTTTTGGCTTTTAACAGGTCCTTACATTCCTTTTTTTTAAGTTGTAATTCTAATTTAGCAGTTAGATTTGGATTTTGTTGAAAGGCCCTAAAGTACTCTCTGAGAGTCAATTTCGCTTGGGTGCACTCATGATCAAACCATTTTTTTATTTCTGGAGGCCCTATCATGTTTAAGATCTCCAGGTCTCAAGAGTAGAGGCTGGAGATTGGAAATTAATAGGTGGTAATAATCAATTAGAGAGATCCCCCCATCATTATTAGCTGTTAGGAGTTGCTGGAAGAACTGCCCATTAGCTGATTGCGTCCAGAGAGAGAAATTTTCATTGATATGAGAGGACCATTTAAATCTAATCCTCCATAGCAGGTGATGTAAGAGTCCTCTCCCTGGGACCCTTGGGAGCTGCTGCCAGTCTGAGTAGACAATACTGACCTTGATGGATCGGCGGTGTGATTCAGTGGACGGCAGCTCCATGTGTCATCGGAGAGATCAGGGTTCAGCTGGGGATTGACCAGTTCTCTCTCTCTCTCTCTTTCTTCCTCTTCTTATCCAACCGTTCCTCTCAGGTTCGAGGCAGCCCTGCAGGAGGCTCATGAGGTTGACAAGCTGCTCGCTGAAGGTCATGATGACGAAGAGTCACTGCGGGAAAAGTTCCCCTACCTGGGGGTCCCTGTCTCCATCAAAGAGGCCTTTGCGCTGCATGGTACATTGTTTTGTGTAGCCTTCTTTGCATACTCTTTGACTTCCATCGCAGCCGTTCCTTTCTTGTTTCTCTCCTCTTTCCTCACCATCCTAGCGGCCCACTTTCCTTCATTCCTGTCGGGAAGGAGAGGCCTGGCTGGTAGAATTCATCTTTCTTCTCTCTGTTACTTGTATTTCTTAGAGCAATATATCATAGTTCCTAACTTCCGGCTACATTTTTATCCTGCCCTTCCTGCGAGGAGGTCAAAGCGGTGTCCACAGTTCTCCTTTCCTCTCTTATTTTGTTTTCATATGCCAGGTAAAGGGAGTACAAAACAACTCACGAGCCAGTGAGAGTGGAGCTTCAACAGCCAATAGGAGCTGAGGGCTGGGAAGCAGAGTCAGTTAACAGCTGAGTTTTGACAGTTAGAAAGAGACCCGGAGATGAGAGTTAGTTGAGGGAGTTGGGGTAACCAGGAAAGGGGGATAACCACCAGCCTAGGAAAAAGGATTTTTCATTTAACCTTGCAATCCTAAAAACACTTTCCAGGAAGTAAGCCCCTTCGAATAAAACGGAACTTCTGAGTAGATATTCTTAGGATTGCTCCCGCTAGTCAGCTTATGCTATCCAGGGAATTGAGCGGCAAACATGCCTCTGAGTGACAGCAGTTAAGCTGTGTAACTTCTGAACCGCAATTATTCAAGGAATAATTTTTTTTTTTGGCACGGATAGTGTCTTAATCCATGTTCCCTGTTATAATTATCTCGGTTCAGTTTGTTCTGTACAAAAACACAGCTTGATCTGGTTCTCTTTTCAAGAAAAATCTTCCCGCCTTCCTGTCGAGATTACCTCACCCCTCAGCCGCAGGCTTAGGTGGATTCTCTATCCCAGTTGAAGGC